AAAATTAATTTGCATGCTATATATTTATAGATCCTTGATAAAAAAAAAACCCCCAAAATAACAAAGAAGAATTTGCAATGTTATTGGTCCTGACCTGGCATCTCACTTTCAGTCACTTTCCCACTGCTATGATATAGCTTCCCTATGTCTTTTCTATAAAATATTTTCATGATAAATTGTGTTGGGGCGCACCCACCTTCTAACTAGTAATGGACTGGTCCCTCTTATATAAGTCAGCTCTGGAGAGAGAGTGACAGAGCGTCAGAGAGAGAGTCAGCGTTAGCAGTCCAGATAAGCTTACCCGGTACATACCGTTGGACAATAGACTTTGGATATTGTTGCGTACTAACCAACCTTCGTTCTACTAATCACTCTGTTGCTAATTGCTTTTATGAATATACCAGTATTTTCCTCTACAACTGTGTTTGTCTTGATTCATACACCGACACGCGGGAAACTCACAACATCTCAAATTGTTATGATTAACATTCCTGTATGGTATCTAGACTTTAGGAATTTAACAGCTGTACTAGATTGGCGGCAAGATCTCATCATTTGAAATGGCGAGATGTAAGCATAAGTTCTATGCTAACAGTTTCTTCTATTGCACTTCATGCTTGTGAAACTCTGTTCCGTCTTCTTGCTTCCCAGTCAACTTTGATCCTCAAAAATTTAAATGCAATGTCAATCATTATCTTCTGTCTTCTTAATTCTTATTCTTTTCTTGTCCTCTCTCTATAATAATGTTTTTTTTTTCTTTTTCATATTTTCTAATGTGATTAGATTTTTAATTTATAATGTGATTAGATTAGATTTTTCATATTTTCTATTTTATAATTTTACACTCATTAACCTCATATGTCTTAGTGGCTTTATAGCCTTGCTTGGGGCGAAATGATTAAAAACATGTTTCCAAAATTTTAATAGACATTACGACTGTTTTAAAACAGTGATTTAAAACTTAGATTTTGGAATGACCTCAAGTAAAATTCCCCATCAAAACAATTCAGACTGACATAACCTACTTCACTAGATGCTCCAAGAGACTGGTCTTGTGTCAAACTTGCCAACAAGTATCTATAATTCCTACTTGGTGTTGGATGAATGTTAGAAAATGGAAATTAATGTTAATTAAATTTAGAAACTCGTCCTTCAATAATTTGTCTTTCATTGTCTTTTTCACTCCTAAAAAAAAAATTGGCCACATTTTTAAGGAGGACTTATGCTTCTTCTGCAAGTTTTTTGGCACTGTTCCAAATCGGTCAGGAATAACCAATATTGAGTTTGACATTTATATCTTTTTCCTCTCACCCACTGCTGGGTTGGGATTTTATTCTGTATTCCACACAAGCTCAGCATTTTCAACAGTTTTGCTAGCAGAAGTGGTACTGTTGAAAAGCTGTTTGCTTTGTTGCTACCAAAATCTGCTGGCTTTTCTCATGTAATTTTTCCATTGTCGATGGGTTTAAAAATAAATTTCAGTATAACTGATTATGACACTGACAAAAAAAAAAAAAAAAATAAAAAGATAATAACAATAATGATAATATATATATATATATTGATTAATTTTAATGATTCCAAATTACGAATAATCCTTCTTAGATAAGGAAGAAATTCTGTCAAAAATATCTGAAGTGAAAGTTAAAAGTATGTTGTCTTTAATAATATTTGCCTTAACAATTTGTCGTCTATACAGAATATATATATATATATATATATATATATATATATATATATATAAAATTAATACAAGTAAAAGGTTTGTCACATAACTGATTGATGTTACCTACAACACCCCAACTATAGAGATTTGTAAACAGACCCTCCAAGAATCACTCTGCCCACTCCTCAGGGGGTATCAGCAATTCACAGTTTATACTTCTTGATTTTCTTTTTTATATGCACTTTTCATTGGTGCAAGTTTTTCTTTCATAGTGTATGTGTCTCGCTGTGTTCACACCCATGTGCTCATCTGTGTATATGTGCAAAATGCCATGGTTATTTGTCCTTTTCATTTTACTCTCACTCCTTAAACTTTCCTCTCTTTTTCTCTCTTTCTATTCTCAATACAAGTGAAAATGACTGCCAAATAACTGATGCATCCATAACCTTTAATAAAGCAAATACAAAAGATCAGCAACTACTCCGACCTAAAGATTGATATTGCCAGATTGTAGAAAATGTTGGAGAAAAATGTTAATCATCCTAGTAGTGATTGGAGCACATGGCTCCATCCCATTAAACTTTGCCAATCAAATTGGTGTAAAATGCTACAAAAATCCACTTTATTGGAGACTGCATGCACACTTCAAAAAGTACTTTGTGTCTTGAGATTCTTGTGACTTGACAGGTACTCAAGACATCTACACAACAACTGTACCAAATTAAAAAATTTGACTTATTTGTCACCTTCGAGGAGTTGACAATTGTTTTATGTCACTCATACAAGTAGAGTTTTGCTTTGATATATAATACATATTATTCAACAGGTTGAAAGATAAATTTCTATTTACACTGTTTGATCTATTGTCCTCATCTTTATTGTCATATTCAGAATGTTTTGACCATTGTAGACTCTGGGCTTCATCTTTTATCCAAGGACACATGGCACAGTGGATAAAAGTGTTGGCTGAAGTAATCCAGTGACTTGACTCAATTACAACAGCAGAAGTGAACAAAAACTTGCAGAGTTGATTTACTAAACTGAGATATCCAGACAATAAAGATGAGGACAACTGTCTGAACAATGTAAATATTATAAATAGTTACAATCTCAGAAATATAGACAAATTTTCATTTTTATTAATTTTTGGCACTACGTAAATTGATTGGTCCACTCATAAAAAATAGGGAAAAAATTTTGGTAGATTAGAATTTATCAGACTCCTCAAGCAACAACATTCGTCAGAATTGAAAAATATTGATATTTTTTTTTTATTGATTTAGAATTGGTGGGGGTGGGTCTGTTTATAATATAAATACAGTGTGAAATTGACCCCTGACTTTTTAAATAGTTACCTAGACTTAGTTGTTAAATCCTCCTTTAGCCCTATAGACTCCACTGAAGAGTATGGGGGACCCAGCTCTCAACAACACTAGGCATTGCTGACGTTGTTTCCATCGCAGGTAAGGTTTTACAGGATGAAGTTGCAATCAGATTTTGAACCCAGGTTTATACTAACAGCATGCAGTGTTCCCAAGCTGTCCTCCCCCCACATCTAAATACTTACTGGGCTTGACATGGCTTACCTTCAGTGATTGTGTGATTTGACTATAAGTCTTAGTTGTTATATGTACAGTTATTTTCTAAGCATATCTTAGATGTGACACAAGGCCACAAATATGGGGCATCCAGTGAGGATCAAACTCACTATCCAGTCATAATTGTTCTAACGAGACAAGATTGCTATCCATTACACATTGTTGAGGTGCCCAAGTGATTTTCTAAGCATAGCTCAGATGTGGCACAAGGTTGAAAATCTGAGGTGCCCAATGAGGATCGAACTCACTATCCAGTTGTAATTGTTCTAGCAAGACAAGTTTGCTATCCATTACTCAATATTGAGGTGCCCATTGATATCTGCATGATAGATGTTTATTTTTAAATAATATTTTTTGTAATTTTAAAAATCTTGTCTTAAAACTTTTTTTATGGTTTTTTTTAAGGCACTTGCACAAACATTGTGGATAATAATTATTTATCTTAAATGATCGCACCCATCCTGATGAATGTAGATGGCACATAGAATATCCTAGCCTCCCGGTTCATAATTAATGTTCTCTTGGGTAGCTGTTGCACATTGGTCTTCCATTGAGTTTATTATTTTTTACAAGAATCTCTGTAAATAAATTATTGAGATTTCTCCATTAAAAGAGCAGCTGATGTTCAGTCTGCATTCATTTTGAAAACTGTTTTGGGCCATGATTTGGTTATATTATTTCAGGGATAATATTTTTTTGATAACAGATTTACCAAATAGGGATTTCTTTACTCTTTACAAGAGACGCATTGGCCTTAAATGTTGGTCTCAAATCATGCCTCCTTTGTTATTGGTCCTCACCTGGCATCTCATCTTCAGTCCCTTTCTCATCACCGTAACGTAACTTCCCTGTGCCTTTTCTAGACATAATGTCATGGTAATTGTTCAAGTGAACTATGGTACCTAGACTTTATGAATTTAAGCACTGTAATAGATTAGTGACAAGGTCACATCATTTTACAGTTAAAATGGCAAGATGTAACCATAAGTTCTATGCTAACAGTTTCTTTAATTGCACTTCTTGCTTGTGGAACTCTCTTTCAGCTTCTAGCTTACCAGTTGACTTTGCTCTTCAAAAATTTAAATGTAATGTCAATTGTTATCTTCTGTCTTAATTCTAGTTCTTTTATTGTTCTCTTGCCATAATAGTTTTTTATTTCTCATATTCTCTAAAACTCTAGTGTCTTAGCAGCTTTATTGCCTTTCTTGCGATGAAATGATTTTTAAAATATCAAAAACATTTCCAGGCTGTTTTTTTTTTTTTAAAATCCTTCTGTTTCTCGCTGTCTTTGGTAAAATCTCCCTGTTTATTTTTACATGCTAGAGATCTAAATCTAGGTTTTAAGTATGACAGGTCAGTTAATGTGCTATTAAATTGTTGTCCAGCTCAACTTTGCTGGACACTTAGTGCCCAGTTGATTGCTTGAAGTACCCTAAAGAATCACCGTTATAAATGCTAATGAATGAAAACTTAGATTGAAAATGGAAATTATAGTTCGATATTTTGTTTTTTGTAGATGGGCCTATCTCTGGCTGCAGACGAATCCAGCTGCAAATGACACATGGCAAGCATATGGAGCTGGTCTTCTCGAAGCCTCGCTAACATCCCACATGATAACCCTGAGTGGCATGAACACATGGTCAAACTTTTGTCAAAAAGTCAAGAGTGACAAATGTACAAAATTAACGACTTTTTTCAAAACCAATCTTCATTGGATGATGTCACAAGTGAAGCAAATGTCAAACAAAGATCCTTTCTGGCACATGGTGAGTAAATAATTACACTCTTAGTGCTTGAATTTTAACTTTTAAGAATACAATCAGAAAGTGACAACTGAAATCTCTTAGGGAACATAATGAGGAAAGGGGGCTTAGAGGCTTGACACTCACAGGATTCAGTAGAGGTAAGGAAAGCAGGAGTGGAAACAGTAAGTAATATACTTAAAAAGGTCTGTTCATCTTCTGCCTTCTATTCACACAAAGAGGGATAGTTGTAATGATTGACTGATTTGTTTTTATGACTCATCAATCACAAAGAGATACAATAAAAAATCAAAAGTTACAATTCCTATAGTAAAATCATTTCCAAGGAATTCCTATAGTAAAAATCATTTTCATTGCATTCCTATAGTAAAAATCATTTTCAATGCATTCCTATAGTAAAAATCATTTTCAATGCATTCCTATAGTAAAATCATTTTCAATGCATTCCTATAATAAAAATCATTTTCATTGCATTCCTATAATAAAAATCATTTGCAATGCATTCCTATAATAACATATATTTGCAATGCATTCCTATAAAAAAAATCATTTCCAATGTATTTTTATAATGAAATCATTTCCAATGCATGCCTATAGTAAAACCATTTGCAATGCATTCTTATAGTAAAATCATTTGTAATGCATGGCTATAGTAAAATCATTTGCAATGCATTCTTATAGTAAAATCATTTGTAATGCATTCTTATAGTAAAATCATTTGTAATGCATTCTTATAGTAAAATCATTTGCAATGCATTCCTATATTGAAACCATTTCCAATGCATTTCTATAGTAAAATCATTTGCAATGCATTTCTTCAGTAAAATCATTTGCAATGCATTTCTATAGTAAAATCATTTGCAATGCATTTCTTCAGTAAAATCATTTGCAATGCATTTCTATAGTAAAATCATTTGCAATGCATTTCTTCAGTAAAATCATTTGCAATGCATTTCTATAGTAAAATCATTTGCAATGCATTCCTATAAAAAAAATCATTTGCAATGCATTTCTATAGTAAAATCATTTGCAATGCATTACTATAAAAAAAATCATTTCCAATGCATTTCTACAGTAAAATCTTTTCCAAGGCATTTCTATGTTGAAATCATTTCCAAGGCATTTCTATATTGAAATCATTTCCAAGGCATTTCTATATTAAAATCATTTACAATGCATTCCTATAGTAAAATGATTTACAATGCATTCCTATAGTAAAATCATATACAATGCATTGCTAACACTAAAAACATGGGCAATGCATTCCTATAGTAAAATCATTTACAAGCCATTTCTTTACTAAAATCATTTCTAAAACAATAGCTTTTGAAATAAGCCATCTCACTCCCAATAGGTAAGCTGTGTAGCTGCTAAGGCTGCTATATGTTTTGGGGTCATAGAAAAAGCATGCAAAGTTTTAGTTATTAATTCTTATAGGTGAAGTTGTAGTCTTATATATATTGAGAAAATTGTTCGAAATAATTATTCGAAAAATATTTATTCATATTGTAAATTGTTGGAAAGAAAATTAATTGAAAGGACAATTATACTAAATAATAATTATTCTAAATATCTATGTTTGAAATATATATGTAATCTTGCTTTGAGAGAGTCAATGCTGATTTGCCAAGAACTAATAACATACTTGAAGGATGGCATATGGCTTTTTTGGAGCAAGTGTCATTCCATCATCCCACAATATGGAAATTCTTAGATACTCTTAAAAAAGAAAAGGACTTGCAAGAAATTCATATTGCAAAAGAAAGAACAGGTTGCCAAAATTAAAAAGAGCACCAAGAAATACTACAACGTAAATGGAAAACTTAAAAATCAGTAACTGACTATTTGCATGCAATATCATAGAACTCTTAAGGTTATAAGGATTTTTTCTTACTAAATTGTTTTATTAGCAATATTTGTATTTCGAATAATTATCATTTGTGAATTTCCTTTTAATTTTTACACTTTTATTGCAATAAAGAATTTTGCATTTCGAATAATTATTATTTAGTATAATTGTCCTTTTGATTAATTTTCATTCAAACAATTTACAATTCAAATAAATGTTTTTCAAATAATTGCTTTCGAATAATGTTTACATAATCGTCTTATAGATGATGTAGTTTTTAATTGTTTCTGCCAACGTGAACTAGCTGGATTTTGTGTATGAATTCATGTTACAAGACAACAAATAATTTTCTATTGAGTAGAAAAGGAGAAGGAAATATTCAATAGTCAAATCTCTCAAATCTAGTACTGATTATCATGCATGAATGAATCAGTCTGGCTGTTGAGCATTTATTGTATCTGAAGGAAAAACTGAATTTGAAATGATTCAAAGCTTTCTGTTTTCAAGAAAACTAACTTATTTAACAATTCTATTTTGTTTCAGGGTTTCATTTTATATATATACTAGCAGTAGAGCCCGGTGTTGCCCGGGGATGTAACAGTAAGAGATAGATCAAGTATCCACCATCATAAAGACTGAAAAATAAAATTGACAATTGTTTAAGGTTGACGGACACGCATGTCTTAATTAGATTTTTTTTTTTTTTTTACGAATTGGTCAAACCCAAACTCAAACAAAAACATTGTTTTCAATCGTTTATAATAAAATTCTATTCAATCGGTAGACACCGATTGAATAGAATTTTATTATAAACAATTGTCTTGTAAATGGAATTTTTAAAGCATTCTGAATGTAAAAATAAAGAAAAAAGTGTGCAAGACAATAAGAAACACTACCTGCCAAAAAAAAGTGAAGTTTTGTTGAAATCGGTTGAAAAATGTAGGAAATCCGATCCCATATATAAACGGACGCACACACACGCACACACAACCTGGGTTTTATAATGAGTATACCTCGATATGAGTTGTCCCCCTTTCATTCTTGTGTTTTCAAATTGATTTCGTGCAAAAACAATTGTTTTTTTCCTATTTTTGGCGCTGTCAGAACCACCGCAAGGTAATTTTATGTAGTCCTGTGAAGTTTTGTTGAAATCGGTTGAAAAATGTAGGAAAGCTGATCCAATATATAAACGAAACAGACACACACACACACACACACACACACAAACTGGGTTTTATAATAAGTATGATATATGTATATTCACATTTCCCTTAAGGAACTATGTTCCTCATCAATCCAAATTCATAAATAATTATATTGAATATACTACAACATGCCTAACAAGAAGACTCATGTTACATCTCCCTGACCAAAAGTCGATTAGCTATCATTTAAATACACACTACCAAATTCCATCAGCAACATACTTGTTGACAATAAAAATCTAATAACCTCATCCTCATGTAAAAAAAAAAAGGCTAAAAATAATGGAAGCATTATTAACAAAAAAGAAAATGACCAACACTCAATAATATCAACTATGAACATCGCCACAATGTGCTGACTGTGTTTGAAAAATAAAACAGTCCTATAACTCTAGATATATATGTAAAACAATATTCACTTAAAAGTAAAAATAAAATCATCCTTGATAATGGCTAAAAGTATAGCCAAAAGTACTCAAGTGTACAGAACATTCAGACAATTTCTACATAATTTAAGTCCAGAAAAGAAGAAAATTATAAGAACACAAGAAAATTTTTTAAAATCTTAACTGCAGTACCTTGTCAGTTGTATTTAATGAAACTTGTTTTTTATATATATATATATATATATATATATATATATATATATATATATATATATATATGTGTGTGTGTGTGTGTGTGTATATATATCAAACCTCATAACTATATTTTTATCATGCAAACATATATATATATATATATATATATATCAAAATAAAAAAAAAAAGAACAGTCAGATTTATAATCCAAAAGTTCTTTTACATTTATTTGTAAAAACAGTGCTCAGTACACGGTAGAGCATACTATTATATTTTTAAATATATGTATTTCTTCTGTGTCGTGAAGAATACATATTTTTTAAAAATAATTATAGTATATATATATTCTGTTTACATGTTATTTTTATAGATACAATTTAAGTAAATGGTCTGTTTTTAATTAAACAGTATTAATTGCATTTACCAGCCTAAATGTTCAAGAAATTTCATAGAAAATATGTATTCTCTGACAGGAATGTAACCTGTATCCCTATATGGATACCATCATTTGATCTGATGTGCTATACCATTTAGCTACAGAGAAGCGTCTGGTTAGCAAAGTCCAAATAAGTGTTTTTAAACACAATCTTCAAATATTTTTCCCAATCGATCATTTCTGCTCATGAAATATATCTTAATGTAAACAATGACAACATATAATGAAATGGATTAAGTCCAACAATTATTTAATATATTTTCTGTTTATACGTTATTTTTATAGATACAATCTATTTAAGTAAATGCTCTGTTTTTAATTAAACAGTATCAATTACATTTAACAGCTTGAATGTTCAAAGAGTATTGTCGAAAATATGCATTCTTCAACAGGAATTGAACCTGGATTCCTACATGGTCATTTGATCTAAGGTCCCAGTAAAATAAAGTTGCTCAACTTTTATGGACATGCATGCATCTCCCAAGGCCTCCAGGTGTTTGCAAACTTTTATACAGATGGAACATGTGGTTGACCCATTTCGCTTGAGGGCTTGAGGATCAATTGCCACATGTTTGTGGGCATTAAGGTCTGCTTTACTGCATGCCTTAAAGCCACATTAACATGCAAGGCTGTCATTGAGAGGATCAGCATGCTGTCAACTTGCTTTAATATTTGTATGCAGTTCTTCCTGTTGGCCTCGCTCAACCCTTTGTATGGATGAGAAGCAGGACAGGCACCAGCTCCTTCGTTCTGATGCTTTGTGTTGTAGCATATCTACGGATGATAATGAGTATGTCCTCATTCACATACATACAGTAGTAAATACTGTATGTTGGTCTGCAGTTGGAGATTCATTGTGGAATTCACTTGACTCACTTCTAGCAGTTGACTACTTCTTGTACATGCCACAGGTGAAACTTATATGTGTTGTT